ATATATATATCAAATGCATAGTACATGCATAAAAATTAATATAACACATGAAAGATGTTTTATAAAATTGTAAGCTATTATAATATTTTAAAAGTATTTTATAAAATTATAAGTCACTAAAATGGATTTTAGAATGAAAAAGAATATAATTTATTTATAACATTTGAAAATATTTTTTTTAAGTGATAGATTATATATGTGAGAAAAAAATATTTAACATGATAACTAAAATTGTATTAAAGAAATATTTTGTACTAAAATAATAAGATAAAAATTGGTGTTAAATATATTAAATAACGGAATATTTTTTATATTTGCATACTTTTAGTTTTATATTTTTAAATGAAATATTAAACAAATAACATAAATATTACATATATTTTAAGTTGATTTTTAAATAACAAAATATTAAAATTACAAAAATCCAAAGAAAGCAAATTGCAAAAGATTAATTTGCTTTGATTTGGTTTGGATTTCATAATTCATTTAAATCGAACCAAACCGCATCTCAAACACCCTCATCTCCCTTCACTACTTATTTTCCACTATTTTATATCTTTCTAATCATTCTTCATTAATTCTTCTTTTTTATCTTTTCTTTCTCGATTTTTTCTTTTCAATAATCAAGATACTCATCGTTCATCTTTATTATTCTTTAAATCTTATTTTTTGCACTCTTAACTTCATAACTTTTAAACTTTAATCTTTTACTTCATCTTCAATATTTATACAATGAATTTTGTAAAGGTGTCATTTCAAAATGTATGACTTGTTAATTTTATGATGAATGATCCAGTAGAAACAATTTATTTTTTATTATTACATAAAAGTAATTTCATAATTATGTTTTGTAATTCTTAAATTATATTTTTAAGAAGTAATTTTTGAAAGAATAAATATACTTTTTTATAAAGTACTTTCTGAAAGAATAAATAATTCCCTTTATTTAAATTTTAAAAAATATTTTTAAATTAAATAATTATTTAAGAAACATATAAGAATTACTATTTAAATTATTTATGTAATTTTTTTTAGAAAAACAAATTAAGAAAAATTAAAAAAGAATAAAAGAGAGGAAGCTTATTTTATTCAAAGAAAATGTTTTTTAAAAGACAAAAATTAAAACAAATAGACTCGATATACTATATCGAAAAATGCACCCTAAATATTATACACTTAAGCTTATCAACAACCACTTCCACAATTTGGAATTGTTGTCAATTTAGGAACAACTTTTCTTTTTATTCTTAAATTAAAAATTAAATTTTAAAGAAGTTTTATAATATGATTTTTTTTACAAATTAGCTTACGTATAAACTATTTTTAATTTTTAATCTTTTATAAATACTAAATAAAAAAATTTATCTAAACAAACTCTTATTAAATACACTTAATCAAAATTAAAAAAAACACTAAAATATTTTTTAAAAAGTTAGACAACTAAATAGAATATCTCTCTA